TCCTCTCTCACTGTCCCTTTCAATTCTTTATCTCCTTTTTTTTGTTTGATAGCTTCTTGTTTCTTCTCTAACACCCTAAACACTTTTCTCTTTTCTTATATAATTGTCTATCAGTTCTTCCCTTCATTCTTTCACTCGGAACCTTTTATCCATCTTTCTTTGAAAAACGTTTCCATTGCTATCTCCAGGCTTAACCCAAATGCGTATTTGACCAGTAGTGACCCCGAAGCTGTACCTAAAGTCAAAGGAGGAAATCTAACTGGTTGCATTGCTCCAGGCTACAGGGCTATGCTCAACTCAGTGACAGTTAACGGGTTAAGTGGACATGGCAAAGGTCATTAGCCTCTTATTTATTTCTTTGTGTGGGCATTCAGCTAGGACAGGTTTGCAAGCTTGACATGTTTGTGCAACGAATGTTTCGTAGCGGATGTACTGATGGCATGTGTTTCCTGCACTAATTCTTTTTACAAGAGCATGTGCCAATTAGCCATATTTACGTGTACTGGTGCCCAGGAAAATCCATAATGAAGAATGCTCTTGAAACACACTGCAGAATCACAAAGGCTGCAATGCTTTCTATTCTGCATAAACCATTTCTGAGCTCTTACAGGACACAGAAGTGATTTCATCTTCGCAGTATATCTGTCAGGCTAACAGTGGGGAAACTTTGATCTACATAGTCATACTAAGTGATCAGATCCCCCACTACTTGTAAGAGGAGCTTAGCAATCATTTATGAGCATAATTCCCACTTGTGCCTCGATTAACTGCCTATCATTCAATGATCACAGTTGGGTTTTAAGTCTGGAAAACATGGCAAGAAATAGGGGGAGTGCACAGCTAATAGCTCATAATGCTTCACACATATGCATGATCTGTTGCCAAATAGTAATTGTTACATGGTGCAATGAGGCAGAGAGAAAGAGACAACTGCAATCTCTGTATTCCAGGGATAGCTGAGACTCTTAGTTCCCCAACAAATGGAGACACTTTCTTGTTTTGGCTGAACCAAAACTGTGATTTATATATGAGTTAGACATTACTATAGTAATATTGTTGGACTGACATGTGAAAATTGTAGACTCAGACTAACACAGCAGACTCTTATTTTAAAAAAAGTAACAGTAATTTTCAGTCCCAAAAGATTTGAAAATAACAGCCACATGGCTAGATCTAAGAACATTATCCTTTTGCTGAAGCTTTGTAAATTTAGCCTTTGTATTATAACAAGTTGTCATTCATTTGCTTGGAAAAAAAATTGCCTGAAATTAACAGTACAAGCTTAAGCCAGAAACTAAAAACATTCTAATCAGAATCCAAGCAATGACTTAAATGACAAATGATTCAAGTGAACTCTTTCTCTGTTTGAGCCCTTACCCCTCCATAACTTTGCTATAAACAATAAACGTTATATACTGTGTGACTGTTGACTTCTGCATGCCATTCATGGATGTTTCATTTAGGGTCTAAAAAGGTCCCAATGATAATGAGTGTTACTTTTTTTTGGCACAGACTAATACCTTTAATACCTACTGTAAGCATACAGTATAAGACAGTATGGCGTATGATCATTTAGTAGTCCACTAATCTTAAACAATAAGCGCTTCATTTACAACCACATTGGACTAAACCATTGCCTTTTATTATGTCCCTAACCCACAGGCTTTTACATTTCCTGACACCACCACTAGCTATAAGTGGGAAAGCTGTAATGTCCATGTGACAGATCTATACATATTTGCAAGGGAATTGTAGACTAGAGCATTTCCATGAGTTTCCAAATAGGAATGGTCTAATTAACATTAAGTAACATTGTATAGGAGCCTTTGGAGAATGATGTAACAAGATAATATGGAACGTGTTTCACATACAGAGCTGAATTTGTATACACTTTTACCACAAATCGTCATTCTTTGAGTGAAGAGATATTGGTCCACTCTACAGATTTTAAATGTATGTTGTAAATGTAGACATTTTCTGGGGTTTGGAAAAAACTCATAACAAGAGACATGATCTGCCCTTTATTGCAGGATAAAACAGAATCAGGTCTTTCTTGTTGTTATGATAAAATCTTAATTCTAGCCACCTTCATGTGATGTCCCTCTTAATTAATATTAGTTTTTGTAAAGCCAGCTATCCTTGTTCACACTCCCATAAGAAAGGATTCCTCATGCACCCATAATATTGGTGATCTGCAAGCTGATTTGATTGCAATGTTCTTGGCATGACTATATAGAACCAAATATATACTATTATATTATGGATACAGATCTCAAATTCATTTTGTGCTTATAATTATTTCATCTGTTTTCCAGGAAGAATAATAAAATGGAGGACATTGCTCTGATGTACATGAAACAAGCGACTAGGTGGCACCAATAATCTTTTCTAGGATCAAATTCAATTACCCAGGCCTTAGTTAATTTATTAGAATAGCCTCTTTATGATCTTGCAGGAGAGGCCCAGTCTAGCTTGGTGTTATTTGCCATAATAGGATAAGGAAGACGTGTGAAGTCTGGGGGGCAATGCAAGTCTAGACCCTAAAAGGCAGCACTCTATGACTTCTAATTTCATAGTGAACACTTAAATCTAATGGTCTCCTTCCATTAGAGAAAAAAAAGGAAGAGCAGATCATACATTAACATAAGATTACACTTGAGAAAACTTGATGCGAGTTCATATGAAGCCAAGCAAACACTATAAAATAATCATCAAGTCTTCTTTTGACCTACATCCTCATCAACCCACTTTTACTGACTCCAGAACCATGAAGCTAAAGTTTCAAGAGAATGGTAACTATAATGAGTCTCCAATCCACAATTATGGAAATGAAGGAAGAATTTTGAAATGCATTATAATTCACAACCTGCTATGGTAGTTATTATTTGCTATAGATTGCAATTTTCCCATATAAAATATAACTTCAGCTTTTTATCAGCAAGTCCTTTCAGTCATTTTGACATTGCTTTTAATATACTCTAAACAATTACTTTTTTAGTATATATTTGTTGATATACTATTTATTAGTGCATGTTTTACAGGCTGATGTTTGCACTCCTTGGCCTGGGACCCTACATTCTTTGGCACTTATTTATTTCCAAATTAGAGAACAAACTGCAAAAGAAAGTATGTAAAGCTAAGCGTTTCGTTATTCTAAAGTTCTCTAAAGAGGAGTTACTATTGTGCATTGTTTTGCAGGTGCTAACTAATTCATCAAGCAGCTTATCCAAGGGGTCTTCACCTCTATGGGAATATTATGTAGACAGTGATAATAACACTGACCATTAGCCACTAATAGAAATGCATAAGCAAGTCAGGTAGCTGGATGTAGCTGGAGGCGATGGAGGAGCTGGGGAGAGAGGATTGGCACGGCTGGAAAGAGTTAAAGGGAGGGGACGTGGGCTGTCACGCGTCATTGGGCAGATTATGTGCAGCAAACAAAAAGTGTGTGTCTGTGTGCCAGTCAGTCACTGCGTCGGGTCCATCTGCACAACTCCTTGTCTTCCCCTTTTTTTTCCCTTTCCCTTCTTTCGGTTTTCTCTCTCTGCTCATGTTTACTCCTTACCACCCCCTCCCATTCATCTGCTTCTCAATCTAGCCATCCAGCAAGACTGAAACACACAAGCACGTCTTGCTCTTGACATGGAAATACTACAGTAATAGGACCTGCATTGGGGACACGGGGACAGGACAACTCCTTATAGCCCTTTTGGATATCCTATTCCTTGGACTATACATTGGCACTATTTGTGGTAAGTGACAGTGCATGCTTTTTTTTCATTATCCTTCCCCTCTCATCTATTTATACAAAGGATTTGTACAAAGGAGAGAAAGCTGCTAAGCCAAGAAACGTGCTTGATCTCCAGGCAAACAATAACTGGGATCGTTGACTGTGTGTCCATTGTAAGGGAATATCTATGTGTTGGTGACACTCGTGCAGCTGGTGGCTTTTAGAAGATCCCGGCAGCTGGGTTTATAGATCATTAGCCAGCAAAGCTGAGCTGGGAGAAGAGACAGAGGGCAAGCAGTAGCCTCCTTGTGTGGCCAATTGTTCTTACAACCTGAGCCTGTACAGTAGCTTCATTGAGCGGAGCTAGGCTTGTCAGAGGTGACTCCGCTGGAGGCTGCTGTCCCGTGCTGAGGTGCTGAAACAGAGCGGAACAGAGCACAGGCGACCAGTCTGCACTGGGGACCCCTTCTGCAAACTACACCGATCGTACCTGGCACTTTGACCTCTCCTAAACCAGCCATCCGAAACAATTTTAAATTCCTTTAGGATCAAGTGCACAAATTCATTTATACCCCGTTAAAAAATAAATAATCACAACCATTAGCAACTTGATCATTTTTTTTCCTATTCATTGATATAATTGAAAAATGAATAGTGAATCCTTATACCTGCAAGTGTGTTAAGAAGTACATTTACTTTAATAAAAATTGTAGGAGGTAATCAAACTTATAGTAAATTTAGGAGTTAAAGTGTTTTAAACTAGATTGCATGATTCTAAATGCATCCCAATTGGCGTATATCATTTGTGGGGAGAAATTAAAGTAAAACGACACACAGATAAGGCTGACACAGTTACCTGCTGCATGGGAAATCCTATAAGCAATGTCGGTCTGAGGCACTCACCTCCAGCCATAAATAAGTGCGTCCATGTAAAAAAAATAATAATAATAATAATAATAATAATAATAATTACCTCTGCTTGCTGCTTTTAATTAAAGTCTCTAAGGGAAAGAGCTGGATTATGATAATGAGTAGACATACGTTCCCTCTTGTAGACTAGAGCTAAAGGTTAGATGAAATGAAATCAGTGACATTGACAGTCCACTTGAAATCCATTCTCCATGCTCCTCTGTCACACTACGCTAGATTACTGATAGCTTCTAAATGACTGTAAGACATGCCTGTGAGGACTAGGGGAGCGTTCACCTAAGCTCCTTCCCTGGGTGCTCATGATCAGCCTGTCAACTCCTACCGGGATGGCAGCAGAATCAATAGCTGGAACCTCCACTGCCATTTGATTGGTGTTCTCCATAATTATGGGTGCCTATTAATTCATCAATACGTTGTAGGTAAAGTGAGTAAAGGTGATCAAAGCCATGTACTATAGATGAACATACGTCATATGTGAACTAATACTTTTATGGTACGTCTGTTTGGTTTTTTTTTTTAGGACATGTCAGTCATGGAAGACACTGGCGTTCAAAAAGCAATTTGGGATGGGGATGCCAAAGCTGTCCAGCAATGTCTGACGGATATATTTACAAGCGTCTACACCACGTGTGACATCCCAGAAAATGCAATCTTTGGTCCCTGCGTGCTGAGTCACACTTCACTGTATGACAGTATAGCATTTATCGCTCTCAAATCTACCGATAAGAGGACAGTACCCTACATATTCCGGGTAAGAGTCTTCATGGCACTATGGCATTCATCTGTTCAAATGTTCATTCGAAAAGTATTTTACAGGTTCACCCGTGCATTCCAAAAGTTAGATGTCATTGGGAGATAGATAGATAGATAGATAGATAGATAGATAGATAGATAGATAGATAGATACAAATACTGAGATAGATAGATAGATAGATAGATAGATAGATAGATAGATAGATTACACTGTAGGGATGGCTACTTTGGTGTGAACAGATAGGATATTTTAATTGGTAATAAGAACGAAAGCTAAAGAAAGGTTTTATTACTTTTTTTAAAGTAGATAAAAGAGTTTTTAAAACCATGAAGTGCAATGTATCACAAAAAACATAAACCTTTCATGTTTGAAAGGTTGCTGACGAATTATTTAAAGCACAGATTTACCGATTTTATCTCCAGACGTAGCAACAAACAGCTCCCTGCTACTTTGGAGAACAATCTGGAAGATTGGTTCATGTGAGAGAACATTTCAGATAGAACATATGGAGGGCTGTCATGTCAGGTCTGTGTGATTCAGCTTGGGCAGACGATTTCCATTCATTCTCATGGTCTACGTCCATAATAGAGCTCTGCTGTGCATTGGGGTCCCCTAAGACTAGTGCTGAGCTCATGGGGGACTTTTTAACCCTCTTATACTTCATTATCCTTGCTTTTTCTGCAGGTGGACACTTCAGCTGCGAACGGCTCCTCCGAGGGACTGATGTGGCTCCGTCTGGTTCAGTCTGCTAGAAACAAAGAGGAACAAAATCTGGAAGCCTACATCAAAAATGGGCAACTGTTCTACAGATCCCTTCGCAGGATTTCCAAAGACGAGGAGCTGTTAGTTTGGTACGGGAAGGAACTGATAGATCTGCTTCTTCTGAACCCTGGCAGGACCCAAGGAAAAACTGCGGGTAAGTCAATAACTCTATAATGTGACTGGCAAAACAGTAATACGCTTTAATAACCCTTTAAATCCACCCCCTTTGTCTGTACTGTCATCTTCTGCTGTCTGTCACTTTCCTTTCCTACCTGTGAATCTCATTCCATTATCCAAATAGCTTTGTTTCCAATTATTTCCTCTTCTATTTGTCCACGTCCCAATGTCCTAAATCTTAATCAACCTCCTCTTTTGCTTTCCTTTCTGTCTTTCTCTCTCATTCTCTTATTATTTTTAGAGAAATATTTAAGTGACAAATGGCCAAGCACACCTAAACGTATAAATAACATGTAAAATAAATATATTATAATAATTTACTGTAAATATAACATAATAACAAGCTCAATTTTATGTGCCATGTGAATCCTATACGCTTTTTTTTTAATGAAACAATGTAGCAAGTCTTCCTAAATTGTTTAGCTGTCATTACACATACCCCTTACCTCTTTAGATAATTGCCAAAAGTGTGAGTAGGTACCAAGTTTTAGATGGTATGGTATCTCTAGGTAGGTCGCTACTGTTTGAATAATGTGTTATACTGCCATGGCACCTTCATTGTCAACTCCTTTTTCTTCCAGGATCATCTCAGTCCACCTGTTTGGAGTGTAACCAGAGGTTTCAGTATGATTTCCCCTATGCAGCTCATGTGAGATTTCGATGTCCCAAGAGACTCCACACGTTGGATTCCAACTCAGAGCAGCCGGGCAAGGACACTAGAGAGCTAGAGTCTCGAAACGCCATGATCTCTCCAGCCAAATACAACAAAATATCAATTTATCAGCCGCAGAAAGAGAATCACAAGCCCACCACAGACTTTCATAACTTGGCCAGGGAAATTGAGAATTTTAGGGGCCCTTCATCGTCATTCGGTTCTTCTCCTTCGCCCAAATCGAATCTCTTACGACAGGACTCTGAGAACACCACCGAGAGTCTCCATAAAACCAAAAGAAAATATGATGACCACCTGGATGACGTCAGAGCCAAGAGGATTGACCCATCTGGGAGATTTCTGGACAGGCCAATGCCTTCCTCCAAAGAGGATTTGGTGTGCAGCCCTCAGCCATTTAGAGGGAACTCTTACTTCAATGTCGATGAAGGCGGACAGTTATATGCTCCTCCGAGCCCAGAGACTGGAGACGCCAAGAGAAGCGCTTTTGTAGAAGTAAAAAAGGCATCAAGAGGAGTTGAAGAGAGTAACCCAAGCACAGATGGTAAAGATGTGTCTCCTGCCCATGCCAGCAGTCAAAGCGAAGACAAGAGACTACACGCCAGGCCAGAAAATCAGTCAGGGGGCAGCCCCATGGGCAGTGCATTTACTAGTGTCGCCCAGGTGTCAAACCCTGAGCAGGAGAGAAAAAGTGCTTTTTCTCAACCCACCAGGAGCAGCTTCAGCCATGTAACCCCTTTGCAGGTGATGGGACAAAAACTGGTATCTAGTGGGGTAAGCATGGATTGCCACCCAGAGAGCGTTGGGCCAGCAAGGCTGTATCAGACTGATCCCCTCTCAGTCAAGCTGTCAAGCCCTGAATTAAATGGGAACTGCGCACTTCCAGGAAGCTTGCCAAAGCAAAGTCCTTTCCTCTTTGCCACTACGTTTTGGCCAAAGAGCTCACCTGCCCCTCTACAGATGCAGCTGCCTTCTACGCTTACCCTATTGCCTCCTTCATTCACCTCTTTATGCCTGCCAGCTCAAAACTGGTGTGCCAAATGCAACGCTTCTTTCAGGATGACCTCGGACCTAGTGTATCACATGAGGTCCCACCACAAAAAGGAGTACGCCATGGAACCCCTGGTGAAGAGGAGGAGAGAGGAGAAACTCAAGTGCCCCATATGCAACGAGTCCTTTAGGGAACGCCACCACCTATCCAGGCACATGACCTCTCACAACTGAACTTATGAACACCTTTGCTATATTAGAACTTTTACAGACTCACACACAGTGACAACGCGGGGTCACGGACTTCTTGATCCTGCATAGAGTGTGCTGGGCTGTTTTCTGTATCTGAATGCACGCATTTTCACTTTCCAAGAGTACATTTTTTTTAAAAAATGTCATATATATTGCAGCATATTGATGCATTTGTCATATCTTTCTACTTTAAATTATGGAGCACTTATGATTTAGATGTTAATGTATTTAAGGGTTACGTTTACCTTGAGCTATCGGACAGTATTTGGGTGGGGCATAGTTAGCCTGTGCATTACCTGCTGGCCTGTTCTCACCTAACCAATCAGTATGGATCATTCTGTGGACGTTGCAATCAATGATCAAGGCAATGCATGACCCATATCACACAACCGTATGGACTTGAGACAGACTGTCATCAACGTGTATTTCTTTTCGAAACAAAGTGTAATTTTGTGCCAGTGAAATCCAGATTGCAATCTTATTTTTTTTCTTTTTCCCCTATCCCCCAAAGTAAGGGGGAAAAAAGATTTTATTAAACTGTATAGTTTATCTGAGTATGTTGAATGCTTTGACAATAAATCGCTTTATTTTCTGCAGACCACCTGCTTGGTAAAGTAAAAAAAAAAAAATGGTTTATTTCTTAATTCCAGCAGTTAAACTCTGCAATCTATTTATTAACCAAGAGGGGAGACAAGTGCTTTTCTTGGTGACAGTGCCCATTTTCGCTACAGGCTCTCTTGTTAGCACGTTTTCAGATATGTGATGCAACATCTGATCCCCTTGACTGTAAATCTTATGATGATGTGTCCGCTCTCATTTACATTAAGACGAACATGTAGACACAAAGGGGTTAGCAAAGTGCTGACCCTGCTGCATTAATGTGTGGAGATCTGTATTTTTAGATGTGGTGTTGCATTGTCCTCAGCGCACAATGCTTGGTCGTGTCCAGATCACACAAATGAGAGAAGGCAGAGATGGGCTGTGTTGGGTATTCAGTTGTGTCTCTCGCCTTTACTGGACGTTATTAGAATGACCCTAACTGAAAAGAAATTGTTGGCATTGCCTTGTGCCAGTAGTACTATTTCTAAAAAGGCATTTTGCAGATCTGCAGAAACATCTTAACATATCATTCATAACAAGGACTTGAGCTAAAGAGAAAAAAAAAAAACGGTTGCCTTTTGCATGCATAGTTTATATAGATGATAGTGTTACAAATAGATGACATGTTGTTACATTTTGCTATATCTGCTATTCCTCAATGGTAACACTTCTACACTGCAGCAGGCTAGATGTATTATACACCTGTCAGGTATACATATTACACTATTACACCTACAATTAGTAGCAAATACAATTTTTAACATTTATAATAACCTGTCCTATTTTATAGGATATATATATATGATTTTTTTAGCTGCTTGGGGCATTTATTTAGCCAACGTTCTTGAAAGTATATAAAGGCAGGTATGTCTGGGAAGGTTCTCATTTATCCAGGTCATGGTATATCTGTAAAAAAATAAATCAAATCAAATGGACTTGCTGTGTTGTTCTTGAATTATTTTTCAAGAACAACACAGCAAGTCCAGTTGCCTTGATTTATTTTATTACAGATATATAAAGGCAGATGAAATAGTAGCTTAAGTAAATAATAAAAGCAAAAAACAGGTTTTGTACTACAAGTCACTATTATAGATACTATCTTTGTAACTCTGTTCTGCGTTGTGTATGGTTAGCGAGTTCATGCTATTGCATGTTTAAGTTTTAAGGAGCTCCTCTCTGAAATGATATGGCTGAGGTATTGACATGCTGGGTGGCTTATTCATTAAAGTGACGTAGATCAGGAAAAAAAATCCCGAATGTATCTATTAGTTATCTGACATCCGTAAAATGTAATACATAGCTAGGGGTTACTTCGTTTTGCACATCTGCTTTGCTCTTTGCCCGGAATATTTATTTATTTGGCTATACACGAGAGGGAGAGATTGTGCAGCACTTGTGATGCCATGCTAGCAATCAGAGGTGCTAGGCGTTTGATGAATATGTGTTGTAATGGCTATGTACATAAATCACAAATACACATCACACTACTAGAAGGCAAATGGATCGTCTCCTATAGCTAAGCCAGTTTATAGGGTTTGCTCTGCAAATATGTTATGTTTTCTAAACATTCTTGATAAATGAATCTGCTGATTGACATTGCAAACACACTGTTAAGAGTGCTGGCGATAATATAGCCCAGGAAAGCAATATGTATCATACATCACCGAGTACAATGGACTAGAGATATTAACCCTGTATGAGCTGAGAAATAAGGAGTGTGGATAAAGACTTAATCACAGGACAAGCTGTGTGGACCATATACATCAAAACAGCTTCAGTAAGCATTCTAAGTCATTTTGGAAAAATTCTTCAACACTTTAATCTAGGTCTAGACTTAAAAACATATTTATAGACTCCAATTCTCAGCTGGTAGTAAGGTGTTTCAGTAATGAATCCCTGTCTAGTATCTATGTCACTTTGCAGTTGAACAGTAATAACAGCACAACCATTGGTGAGCAAATCAGTCTCTGAAAATGATGGTAGGTGATACTGAGATAAATGACAAGGAGAAATGGGATATTCAGAAGGTTTAACAAATGTATTTTTCAAATGTAGGTGAATGAACACTAGTAAGTTATCATTTAGGACTTAGTTATTGGAGCTCATTCAAGTTGGGGGCTGATCAGTCTTGATTTGCAGTTGTTATAACTTTGATTAGTAGAAGATATCTTGTAGAGTCTAATTGCTTTGTAGTTTAAACAAATTTTGGCATTTAAAACATTTCTGGAAAATAGCCATTTGCAGAAAATCACTTTGCAATCAGCTAGAAAACTATTTAAACTGATTTTTCCCATTTACTTCAGTCACCAGGGACCACTTTTGTATCTAGAATACTATCATCATCTTTAGCCATGCTGAATTTTCATGGCATGTTCCACAGATTTTGTAAAAAGCCTTCATGTGCAGTGTCACATTGTTTTGCATTCTGGTGCAACTGCATTTAAAAAAAGGGCAAAATGCATGGACTTTAGAAAATACAGTGGGGTCTATTCACTGAGCTGCTGTAGGCAGCCGAGCGACTAACCGACCCGAAGCAAAGTGAGCCGAACGCTGTTCGGCTATTCACTACAGGCTGGTACGGCTGATTCCAGCCGTATATCGGCTAAAATCAGCCGTACATCGGGTGGCTTCGGCTGGCTTCGGGTCGGCCGAACATGCTGATTTACTAAAGGAGTTGATCAATTATCTTTACTTGAATAAATGTGTGAAAAGCAAAACAAATAAGCAGCAATTTGCTTTTCATCTCTTTGGATAATCATTTTAACACAATGCATTAAGTGAGGATTCTCAGCTCCAGTAGAAAGTAGCCTCATTGGTAGAAACAAGTAATTTGCGTGGCATTTAAAATAGAAATAAAGTCTATTTTTTACATATATCTACTGCTAGCAAGCAGTAGATATAGGCCACAACATTAAAGAAATAAAAAAAATAGTCAAATAGACAATAACTTACCTAGCTCTGCACCGCTTGCTACTGGCTGCAGGCCAAATCGTCCCGAACGGCCGTGCAGGACTAAGTGTGTGCAGGCGCATGCGCAGTCCATCTCATCGGTGGGGAGAGGAGGAGAGACACAGTAAAAGTGAATGCGTGCAGCCGGGAGATTGCACGCAGGACAGACTCTGTGGGACACAGGAAGACATAGGAGTCTGCACTGGATCAGAGAGCAGCACCAGCGCTGAGGGGACTGCTGAAAATTACTGGAACTAAGAAGATGTTCGGATGAAGAGGCATCGCTTAAGGTAAGTCCTTACAGAAGCATTGGGGGAAAAAAATTGGCATAGTTTCATTCAGCTTTCAGAATGCAAAATGAAGCAGATGAGAAATATCATATTGTTTGATAAAGTCCTTTGAATGCCTATGGACATGAGATGACAGTAGCCTAACCCAATTGTTCCTGGAGCAATACAGCCCACTCTGCATTTTTTCACTTATATTGTAAGCTGTCACAACTGACCCAATATTCTAGCAGTCATGCATGGTTGAGTTAAATGTTCCTGTATATGGAGCTTTTTGACATCAGAAGTGCCAGGGAATGGTCTGATATTGCCTACATAACCAACTTTCCTGTTGTGTCTATGGGCTCAATAAAATGTAACTGCACCTGTTCTTTGCATCCTTTGGCCCAATTGGAAGGCTTTTCCAAGCTCTGCAATCTAGTGAAATATATTTTGCTGGGGCACGTGAGTGTAATGCTGACCATACACTTATAGCAAAAGTCTCTCCTGCCAAGCTATTGTATTTTTACAGCTGGCACCAGGCGAACATTATTTATTACAGTTATTTATATAGAGCTGACAACTAATGCAGCGCTTTACATGCTACACATTCACATCAGTCCCTGCCCTCAAGGGTCCCTATATATATGGTCCCTATATTACACACACATACAGGGCCGATTTACCTTCCAGCATGTCTTTGGAGTTTGGGAGGAAACTGGAATATCCAGAAGAAACACATACAAGCATTGGAAGAACATAAAAACTCCTTGCAGATAGTGTCCTAAACTAGGGACCCCAGTGCTGCAAGGCAGAAGTGCTAACCACTAAGTCACTGTGCTGCCTATATAAGTTTAACTGCAGTTAGCCATAAAGAGTCAAATTCGGTCATTTATCCTGCCACTATATCCGCAGTATAAAAAAAATACAGCAAAATAGTTAAAGATGTATTTATCCAGTTTAGGAAGATTGTCAGTGTGTAAATGCAATAACAAGATAATGGCCATTCTGTTTCATGTTACCGTATAGAGAGAATATATAAAGTACACATCAAACATATTTAGTGTTTTACCACGCCAGTTTCAGCCCTGGGATTCTGTAGTCCTCATGTGTCCATCTGTATTCCTTGCTGTCATCTAATGTGTATAAATCTGCCCACATCTTTAGGGAATTAGAACATTATGAGATAATTACAAGGAATGCTTATATGCTTAGATGATAAGAGTTCAGTTAAGGTGTACGTAGTATAAAGCCAGTGGGAAAGCAAATGCATAAGATGCGTGTGAGGTTAATGAATTGAGATCCCTATGGGAGCTCAATCCATACATCTAATACAATAGAAATGTAATTGCCCTCAATAAACCACGTTTCTAGAATAGATATAGTTTATCTAGCCCCATGGGCATCCAACAGA